TTAGGAAGAAGGATTGGCCATCCACTTCTGTAATAGCAGGCCTCTGAAAACTCTATGTACCCCTATGCATAAGAGATAGAAGTGTTTTTTTTTTAAATTAAAGGTTTATTTATTCATTGCAAATACTTTTTTTTTATATTTCCATTCATTCATTGTTGCACTTTGCTCCCCTCCTCATCCTCCCCCCTAGTCAGTATACTATCCTCTTGGAAAAGTAAAAGAAAAATTCTTTTATTGTTTTACAATCCCTCCCCCCAGGTCCTCTCCATTATGCAGCCTTCGCTCTGGACTCCCGTCATGACAATAATACCTAATCACATATTCCTTTTACACAGTTTTCTCCAATCTGTTTCAATGCAGTATACATTATTGAATGCATCTTTCTCAGTCTTCCCCTAACCCCGAGGTCAGTCCTATTTTACAAGTGGCACCATGCAGTATTTGTCCTTTTGTGACTGAGCTGCTTCACTCAGCATAATGTCACCCATTTTGAATAATATTGCATGAGTTCCTTGTTTTTCAATGCAGCGTAGTATTCCATTGTGTGAATATACCACAGCTTCTCTATCTATTCGTTTGTTGATGGGCACCTGGGTTGTTTCCAACTCCTTGCTATTGTGAACAAAGCCACTATAAACATGGGTGTGCATATATCTGCTTGGGTGTCAGTCATGGTTTCTTTAGGGTATATCCCCAGTAGTGGACTTGCTGGGTCAAATGGTATCTCTGTTTGCAACTTTTTGAGAAAGCACCATACCGCCTTCCACAGTGGATGCACCAGAGATAGTAGTGTTTATGGAGTGCTTACCACAGACAGCCACCTCCTCAGCTTCAAAGGCACGAGCTGGCGTCATCTGCACAAGGCTCTGACAAGGAAACAGGTCAGTAGAGAGGTTCAGTGACTGGTCCAAGATCACCAGTACTGGATGACTGAGCTGGAATTTAAACCCTTGTCTGTGCCAGTCCCTGACATACACATTTTCTACATCAGCCCCTTGTCTCTGCTGAGCTCACAGATGGAGGTACAATTTTCAAGCCGTGTCTGAGATATCTTTATCTCCTTGTACCTTGGCCAGGAGCAGTGAGAAATAGCTTAAGAAATAGCATACTTTTTTGTACTCTCAATACTAGTTTTACTAACCTTTTGTTCTTTCCTTTTCTCCATAAGCTGTCTTATATAGATGACACGAGCTTATCATTCAAGAAGAAATCACAAGAAAGCTCAAAATGGCGGAAGAGTTTGAAAGGTACTTAGGCAATAAAAAAAAATGAGACATGCACACTTTTTACTTATTGTCTCAAAACCTTCCAAGTTGCAGAGCTCTGGTAAGTGGCAAGAAGCTGCACTGCGATCCCAGAGGTACACGGTTCGAATCCACCAGATGCTCTGCTGAAGAAGGAGGAGCAATCTCCTGTACCACTCATATCTGATTTGACGGTACACATACAAAAATAATAAAATTACAAAAATTTTTTAAAACCCCACAACCTTCTAAGCATGAAGTCCTTTCCAGGCGACTCCTAATAATATGCCTCAAGTATAGGAGAGGGAGATTCACTACCATTGCCTCACAGCACTTCCTCCAAGATCAGTTTGTTTCTTCTGTTGGCAGCTCATGGCATTTTCAATATCGTTTGCCGACAAACACCACAGTTCAAAGACATCACTTCTTCTCTGGCACTCCTTACTCATTGTCCATCTAAATGCACTTGAAATACCATGACTTGGGTCGTTAAGTGCTGTCAAGACACCTGTGACTCATAGTGACTCTATGTACAACAGCTCTGAATCTTCTGCCCTATCCTGAGCCAGTCTCACTGACTCCCAACACACCTAATCCCATCGTCTCAGTTACCTTGCCAATCTCTCTCATCCAGGATCTTCCTCTCCTGTGCTGTCCCTCCACCCTTCCAAGCATGATGTCCTCCTTCAAGGACCATTCCCTCCTGGCCCTGTGCCCAAAGTATATGAGATGGAGCTACAAAATCCTTGCCTTCAAGGAGAAACTTGGTTTCACTTTCTCCAAGACAGACTTACTTGTTCTCCTGGCTGTCCATGGTATCTTCATTACTCTTCTCCAGCACCACAACTCAAAGGTGTCAATTATTCTTCTGTCATCCTTAGTCATTGTCCAGCTTTCTGGTGTATAGCATGTAATTGTGAAGACTATGGCCTGGATCAGGCACACGTTAGTCTGTAGACTGACTTCATTGCTTCTCAGCCCTCTGAAGAAGTCCCCGACAGCAGGCTTCCTCATTGCAATTCATCATTTAATTTGGTTTAGGAATGCTTTTTCTTTTTAAAAATATTGTAGTTATTCCAAAGTAGGGCCATTTTTTTACCTAGCAGGGTAAATTTAGTAGAGTCAGGAGGCATTTTTGGTTGTCATGTGTAAGTGGGTATAGACCAATTGTTGTGTGCTGTCAAATCGGAACTGACCCATAGCTGGCACTCCAATGGGTTTTCAGAGGCAATAAATCTCACGAGAGGGGATTGGCCATCCTCCTCCCATGGAGTGGCTGGTGGATTTGAACTGCAGGTCTTTGAGATTGCACTGCAGCTTCTTACCAGTAGGCCACCAAACTCCCTGGATATAGGTTAGAGATGTATACACAGAACATCTCTTCACAGGAGATTGGAGTGTTAGGAACCGCTCCAAATTGTTGAGGAGTAATGATGTCTGATTCAGGCCATGGTCTTCCCAATCACTTGCTGTGCATTTGAGAGCTGGACAATGAATAAGAATACAGAAGAAAAATGGATAACTTTAAGCTATGGTGTTGGAGAAGAGCACTGAACAGCCTGTGGACTTCCAGGAGAACAAACAAATATATCTTGGAGAGGGGGCAGTCAGAGTGCTCTTTGGAGGCAAGGATGATGAGGTTTTGCCTCACGTACTTAGGGCATGTTGCTAGGAGGGGCTATTCCTTGGAGAGGGGCATGATGCTGGGAGGGGTGGAGGGGCGGCAAAGGAGAGGAAGACCCTCAACCAGCTGGATTGACACAGTGACGGCTGCAAAGGGCTCTAGTGTGTCAGGAAGTATGAGGACGGCACAGGATATGATAGGGTTCAGATCTGTTGTTCATAGGGTCACTATGGTTCATACTCAACAGCACCTAATAACATCTTTTCACAACAAAGATTATATTATAATCTCCTTTAGTATTTCATTGACTACAAGTCTCAGTAAATTACCTTAGCTTTTGTTTCTTCCTAAATGTCTTTACTTCATCTTTATTCTTCCAATTTAGTTTTGCTAGGTCCACAAACCTAGTTTTATAGGTCTTCTCTCTCAGAACTTTAGTGGTATACTTCCATTGTCTTCCATTGTTACTGTTGAGAACTCTGTTGTTCTAAGTGCTGTCTGTTTATTGCTGATAATTGTTTTCTTTCCGCATGTCTTTAAGATCTTCTCAGTCTTTATAGATAAGCCATACTTTTATGCTGGATTCCCCCCTCCCCTTTTTTCCCCTTTTTTAAAAAAAAATTTAATAATTTTAATGAACATTTACAGAGATTTTGGATTT